CCTCCCAGCTCACCGGGACGCTGGCCAGGAGCAGCCCCGAGGCTGAGTAGATCTCCAGGAGCGGCCGGGCGCTGGGGGTCTTCTCCCGCCGGGAATTCCTCAGCAGAGCTGGAGAAGGAACGTTCTCTGAGCCATCACCGGCACAGCCCCGGTTTGGGGGGTTCGGGGGGGCCGCACCCACCTATGGGACCCCCGTACGGGGCAGCTGCCACCACACAGTCCCGCAGGTCCTCCCGCAGCCCCCATTCCATGGAGTAGAGCTCCAGCTTCCTGCCGGGACACAYGGACACATGGATGGACTGATGGATGAACCCCCAGAGACCCCGAGCCAACCCCAAAACCCCTCTGACAGCCTTGGGACCCCCTCCCCAGCCAGCGCCATGAACCTCGGCCATCCCGGGACCCCCTCAGCCACCCAGGACTCCTCTGACAGCCCTGGGACCCCCTCCCCACCCAGTCCCATGATCCTGGCCCCCCCTCGGGACCCCCTCAATCACCCCTGGGACCCCTCAACCACCGCCGGGACCCCCTTCCCAACCATTCCCAACATTCACGGCCATCCCAGGATGCCTCAAGACCCCCCCAGACACACCCGGGACCCACTCCCAGACCCAGGACCCCCATCCCCAGCCTGCCCCAAATCCTATGACCATCCAGGGATCCCCCACCAACCCTGAGACCCCACAACCATCCCCAGGACCCCCGACCCCGCCAGCTCCAAGAACCACGGGCACCCCTTCCCAGCCCTGGCATCCCCCCAACCATCCCGGGAATCCCAATTCCCATCCTTGGCATCCCCAGCCATGCCAGGACTCCTTTTCCAGGGAGCCCCAACACCATCACGACCCTGGGACACCCCTGGGCAGCCCCGAGACCCCCAAACACAGCCGGGACCCCCAAACACAGCCGGGACCCCCAAACACAGCCGGTGCCGCCCCTCACCGGTAGAAAGTCTCCTCGCCCAGCGGGTTCCAGTTGGCCGTGTAACAATCCATGGCGCGGCCGGGACGGGGGAACCGGGTTGGGATGGGAGGGGGAACCGGGAGGGGGAACCGGGACCGGGATCGGGACCGGGCGGCCCCGGCGCTTCCCTCGGCCGCGCCACGCCCTGCACGTCACGGCGTGACGCCGTGCAGGGCGCCGCCATCTTGGGTGAGGGCAGCGGGTTAGGGCAGTGCGAAACAGGAAAGGGGAACTGGCGCCATCTTGAGTGAGGGCAGCGGGAAGAGAGGAACCGCCGCCACCTTCGGTGAGGGCAGTGGGAAAGGGAAAAAGGGAACCGGCGCCATCTTGGGTGAGGGCAGCGCGAAAGGGGAAAAGGGAACTGGCGCCATCTTGGGTGAGGGCAGCGGGAAAGGGAAAAAGGGAACTGGCGCCATCTTGGGTGAGGGCAGCGCGAAAGGTGAAAAGGGAACTGGCGCCATCTTGGGTGAGGGCAGCGCGAAAGGGGAAAAGGGAACCGGTGCCATGTTGGGTGAGGGCAGCGTGAAAAGGGAAAGGGGAACCGGCGCCATCTTGGGTGAGGGCAGTGGGAAAGGTGAAAAGGGAACCGGCGCCATCTTGGGTGAGGGCACGGGCCCGTTCCCCAAAGGGTCCCTGTCCCCAAAGATTTCCTCCCTCACCCCAAGATCTCCGTTGTCCCCCAGAGAGTCCCCAGTTCCCAAGGTGCTCCTTATCCCTGAAGGTGTCCCCTAAGATTTCCGCTGTTCCCTCCAGCTGTCCCTAAAGGCATCGCTTCTGTCACAAGGTGCTTCCTGTTCCCCAAAGTGTCCCCTATCCCCCAAAGAACCCACAGTCCCGCCAGCTGTCCTTTATCCCCACGGGACATCCCCCATTCCCCAAAATGTCCCTTGTCACACACAGCGTTCCCACAGGTCTCTCTTTATTTCCCGCTGCTGGAAATCCGGGAAGGGCGGCGGCGGTGGCTCCTGCGCCGGGGTGGGGATCRGGGGTGCCATGGCGGTGCTTCGTGCGGCAGGTTCGGAGTGCGGAGTCCTGAATTTGGGGTGCCCCGGCACCGCCACACGCCCTGGGCTCAGGGTGCCACGGCAGTGCCAAGCTGGGGTGCCACGGTGATGCTCGGTGTCCCAGGATCGCGGTGCTGTGTAGGTGCTGCTGTGCCAGGATTGGGGTCGGAGTGCTGGGGTGATGCCTSMYGTCCCGGGGCMGGGTTTGGGGTGCCATAGCGGTGCCACGCGTGCCAGGGTTCGGGTGCCRCGGCAGCGCCTCATGTCCCGGGGTCACGGTGGTGCCACATCGGCGCTGCCACGCCGGGGCTGGAGCTGGGGTGCCATGGCAGCGCCAGCTTCGGGGCACCGCGCCGGACCCTCCATCCCCACCCGGCCCTACTTGGTGCCRTCGCCCAGGTCGCAGCGGTAGTGGAAAATCTGGAAGTTCAGCAGGGTGCCCAGCAGCGAGGGGTAGGAAGTGCCCACCTTGCGGAAACCCTGCCCCTCGTAGAGCCGCTGCGCCGCCACCTGCACCATGGAGGTGCTGAGCACCACGGCGCCGAAACCGCGGGTGCGGGCGAAAGCCAGCACCTCCCGGCACAGCGCCCGTGCCAGCCCGCGGCCCCGGTGCTCCCGGCTCACCGACATCCGCTTCAGCTCCAGCTCGCCACGGCCCGCGGGCACCGCCGCCACCATGCCCGCCACGGTGCCACCCACCTCGGCCACCCAGAAACCGCGGTCGGGCGGCCGCAGGTAAGTGCCGGGCACATCGCACAGGTCGGTGCCCAGCGCGTCTCGCACGTACTCGGCGCTCAGCGAGCGCACCAGCACCCACAGCAGCACCAGCGCCAGCGCCACGGCGCCCAGCCCCAGCACCCAGGAGCCGGCGGCCGCCCGTGCGGCCACGAACACGGCCAGCAGCGCCAGCCGCACCCGCGCCGAGCGCAGAACGTGCCGGAAACCGGCCGGGGCGTGCTCCAGGATGCCSCGGGCGAACAGCGCCCGCACCGCCTCGTAGTCCTGGTCCCGGTACTGTCGGATGCGGAACGACGCCATGGGGGCACCTGCGGGGTGGGACAGAGCGGGGTCAGGGAGGTGCTGTGGGGGAGGATGTCTGGGGTAAACCAGATCCCATTCCTGGGATGGCACAGAGGGATCAGAGCAGTGCCACGACAGGCAACCCCAGGATACTCCAGATCCCATTCCTGGGGTGGCACAGGGGGTCAGGGCAGCACTGACATTCACAGGGACCCCCAGGATATCCCCAAATACATTTGTGGGATGGCACAAGGGGGTCAGGGCAGTGCCATGACAGGGGACCCCCAGGATACCCCTAAATACATTTGTAGGATGGCACTGAGAGGTCAGGGCAATGCCATGACAGGGGACCCCTGGAACACCCCCAGATCGCATCCCTGGGATGGCACTGTGGGGTCAGGGCAGTGCCATGGTATGGACTCCTTGAGTAACCGAAGATGCCATCCCTGGGATAACCCGGAGGGGTCAGGGCACTGCCATGAAAGAGGACCCCCGAGATACCCCCAGATCTCATCTTTGGGATGGCACAGGGACCCCCGGGGCGCCCCCAGACCCGTCCCTGCGGTGGCACCGCGGAGTCAGGGCAGTGCCGGTGCCGCTCCCTCCCACCCGCGCGTCCCCCAAAAGCAAAGGGGAACAGGTGAGAGGGGGAACAGGTGAGGGGTCCCTTCCCCCCCATAATGGGCCCCCAGGGGTTCATCCCCCGACCCGGGGTGAGGAACAGGAGCTGTGGGGGGACAGAAGGAAGAGCGGGAGGGTCTAGGGGTGCCCTCCTTCCCGGAACCCCGGCACTCACCGGGAGCCGCGCACGACAATCCCGGGGCAAAGGTGGGCAGCCCGTGGGCACTGACCGTCCTTTACCCGTCGTGCCGTGACAGAGCGGGGCAAAGGGACACGGGGGTGGCACGGGGACACGGGGGGACACACGGGGGGACACACGGGGGGACACACGGGGACAAACCCCCCCGGGGCCGCTCCGGGCTGGGGGGGCTGAGCCGCGCTGGGCATTGCGAAGGGAACGCCCCCCACCATCCTCCGCCCCCGGGAAGGGATCGAGGGTCCCCAAACTGCCCCAAACCCGTGCGGGGGACGCACGGCCCCGACCCCCCGTTCCCACGATCCCGGCACCCCCTCCCCAAAAAAAAACCCTCCCGCCGCCCCCCCCACCTGCTGCTACCGGCGCTGTCGCTCCTCAAACCGGGGCCGGCGGCTGTGCAGCTCCTCGGGGCGAACCGGGGGGTCCCTCAGCGGGCCGTGGGGGGCCGGTGACCCCCCCAGCACCACGCGGAGGAGATTTTTTGAGGGGGGCTTTGTTTCCCGCAACCCCCAGCCCGGCCTGTGCCGGCGGCTCCCAGCGCTGGAAGACGCCGGATGCGTTCAGCCCATTGTTCTCCGACAATTTGGAGAGGGAGTCTCGATCAGTTTGGGGAGGGTGTCTGGTGGCAGCATGGGAAGGGGAACCCCAATTTCGGCCGTGCCCAGGCCGGCGGAGGCTCCGGCGGCGCGGCGAGCGCAGGCGCCGAGCGGGAAGTGCTGCCCCTGCCGATGCTGGATGATGCCATAAACCGATCCCGAGAAGGTTATGGGGTCACGGAGGGGGGATTTGGGGGGAGCAGCATCTGTGCAAGGGACAGGGGTCTCGGGCGGTGGCGGGGGGACGGGCAAAGCCACCGCGAGGGACCCCTGTCCCCCCCAAATCCCGGCGATGGGGCAGCAATGGGTCACCATGGGGTGAAACGGGATGGGGGTCCAGCCCCTCCCGGAGTGGGTGTCCCCACTGTAGGGACCACCACGCCCTGCCCCGGTCACCCCAGGGTCACCCCAGCGGGCTGGGGGGTCATCACGGGAATGGGGTCCCCATTCTGGAGCCTCCCCGTGAGGATCATGGGGGTCCTTGTGGTGTTGGGGACCCCCCCCGGGGGAAGGACTCATCCCAGCTTTGAGGACAATCCTTTATTTCGGGATGGGGACAGGCACAGAGGTCCCATGGGCAGCCACGGGGGGATCAGGGCCAAGCAGGGCACAGCCCCCCATCCCCGGGGGACTGAACCCCCACCCTGGCAGGACTCCAGGGGTTTAAGGGGGGCCACCCCAGCCCCTCTTTTGTACCCTGAGACCTCTCCAGTGCCTCCCCCCGGCTTTCTTTGGGTCTCGGGGGGCCCGATGCCAGTGCCCCCCATGTTCTGGGAGCTCAAGTGCTGATGGTGGTGCCCCATTCCCATGACCCCAAGGTTTCCCCAGTGGGTCAGGGGCGCACAGACCCCCCCACTGCACCCCACAGGCCCATCCTGCCCCCACCACCCCCTATGGGACCCTCCCTGCTTCCCCAGGAATGATCCCACACAGCTCCCCACGAGTCCACCCCACACTGGGACCCCCATGGGGGCCCTGCCAGCACCCCCGACCCCTCCCCATGGACACCCCATGGTCCCAGCAGCCGCTGCACCCCCCACCCACGACCCTCTCCCGGGGTCCCCACAATCCCAACACCCCCCTCCATGGTGCCAGGACCCCCTGGACCGTTCCAGTGCCTTCTTGGTCCCACGATCCTCTCGAACCCCACACCCTGGAGACCCCCTATTGTCCCCATGGCACCCAGAACTTCCCGTATCCCCCCAACACCCTCAAAGTCCAGCAGACCCCAGATCATCCCAATGGCCCCAGCATTCTTTGCCCCCCACGCTGCAGGCCCCCATTGCCCCGATGGTACAAGAAACCCCTCAGCGTCCCCCCGAACCCCCTCAGGGCCCCTCCGAACCCCCTCAGTGTCCCCTCTTGAACTCTCTCAGCGTCCCCCGAGCCCCCTCAGGGTCTCCCCAAACCCCCTCAAAGTTACCCGAACCCTCTCAGGGCCCCTCTGAACCCCCTCA